TCACACACAGACACACACACAGAGACACAGAGAGAGAGAGAGAGAGAGAGAGAGGTACATGACGTTGAGTGGATTCCAGAGAATGGAATAAGTGTGGAAATTCTTGGTGGGGTCGAACCACAAATAGATTTGCTGTTCTTTGTCGCCTTGGCCTTGTGTGTATATGTTTGTATGAAGAACATAGGGATCACCACTGAGGTTACCCAGAAATTCAAAGTCTATTTCGTCGTGAGCAAAACCCAGTGAAGATAACTGAAGGGAAAGAAAGAAGCTAAACGATGATGAAATTATGACAATATATATACATATACAGACAGAGATCGATCAAGTAAACATGGACTTACATAGTAGGCAGTTACAGTACCAGCAGAATCACCAGGAACAAGCTTGATCTGAACGTCAATCTTTCCGAACAAGTACTGGTTTTTGGATTGAAATCCAGACCCAGAATCTCTGTCGAGAGACAGCTTCAGAATCTGCTCATTATTATTATCCCCAACCATCCTCGCACGCCCGTCACCCCATGTTATTTCTAGATCTCTATCCAAGTCTCCATCTCCAAACACTGCAACCAATAAGCTACAAACAGCAACAAAACCAATTATGATTATCTCATTTTCAGAGCCATCCTTCTGCAGCCTCATCTCTTTCTTTACTTTGCTCTCAATTGGGTGATAATAACCAGCAATTCAATTAGGGGGGGGGGGGGACAAATTAAAAAGCCAAGAGATTTGCGGATATATAAGTAAATATTTAGTGAAGAGTAGTGATGACAGTGCATGCAAGTTTGAATAAGTAATATATAGGGAGGCGGTTGACTTGATTATGGTGGAGGGGCTAGGTTGAATAAGTAATGTATTGTCGAAATTGTTGGCTCTTAATTCATATCTTTCATTTTGCGCACTATAGTCTCTCCCATCTCTATATGTATATATGAGTTTCATTCAAATATAACAGTCCACATTTTAGTGGTTATTGTTAGTAACCTTTACTTTATTTAGTTCATAATTACTTACTTGTCTCACCAATTATTAAATATACCTTTGAAATATTCTTACATGGATTGATATTATATTTAAAAAATACTAATAGGGTCGTTAATTTTATAATTTTATAACATAAAATATATAAAAATATCGCATGTTTTATTTTATATACACACAAACTCTCTCCGCTCCTTTATATATAAGAAGCTTTTTAACTAAAAGAAATTGATGATCCTATATATATGTTTGATGGAGCATTAATTAATTTTTTAAATATTATCCTTACTATATTTACTAGAAGAAGATTTGAAATTTTGATTTTTATTTTCTATATATTTAAATAAATGTAAATTTGGAAAAAAAAATTTTATTTATAAACAAAATTAATAGTTCAACCACATTTTTAGAGTTTGTTTGAAATGACTTATAAATAATATATAAACAACTATTCAATTGTGATTTACAGAATAAAAAATAACTATGTGAGAAAAATGTTATCTCGACTTACATAAATGTGCCTATTGATCGTTAATCCAACCAAGCCCTTACTTTCAATAAAGAAGTTAGAGATAACTTATGCTATCTCTAATTCTTCTTATAAGATTCAAAATGTTTTAAAAAAATCTATTAATATTAGTTAAAATTAATAAATATATATGAAATATATGAGAGGGTTGATGAGATTGGGAAAGAGAAAAGATTAAAAAAAGGCATAGGAAAATGATAATACAATTAATTAGGGATAAAATTGATAAAAATGTATTTGATAACTAGACAACTCCAAATTAAATTTTATGAAAAGAATAAGATGAATTTAAAAATTGGCACCTTAATAAAAGGATGAGAGTACTCCTTTGATTCTATTTGTAAGACAGAGAGAGAAGACATTTTTTGATCGTATTTATAGGGCACTAAGAAAAAAATTTTGTATAGATGTACAATTTCACTCTTCATTTATTATTGTGTTAACTTTATTTACATGAGATATAATGTATATTAACTAGAGATAAAGTGAAAAAGTTATTGAATTTTAAATGATAGTTAATGAAGTTTAAGGTTTTTCTTAGTTTGTGTTAAACATGTTGGAAGTGACTTATAAATAGGAACTGAGAAGTAAGTAACTAGAGAGGGCATGTGTATGTAGCATGTATATGTAGTTGTTTATTATTGGCTAAGAGCTATTTGCTTTTATTTTGGGACTTTTATTGTCACCCATAAAATGAGCTTTCATTAGTATAATTTCAGCTAACCAAGCAACCAATCAAACGAAGCTTTAGTGCACACTAATAAATAAATCCCCAGCTGGAACACACACACACACACAAATTTCATCACAAATTTGGTGTTTTTTTTTTTGGGTAATAAGTACATGATATAAGGGGATATAATTTGCTCTCTCAAACTCAATATAAGTTTTTTGGCTTTGCAGAGTTTTGGAATATTGTACCAAAAGAGTGCTCAGATGTATGGATCACTTATTAAACTGGCAAAAAATTAAAGTTATATAAGGGAGATTAAAGCCAGAGGTAGCCAGCAATACATTAAAAAACGAAAGTAGTTGGGAGAGTTTATACATTAAGGGGTAATTAGGCAGATTTATTATTAGATTTAGTAGCTTATTATTGTCGGTTTCTTGCTAAAATAATGGAGCTTTCCTTCAAAGCTAGTTATATATGATGGATTCTAATCCTTACTCGTTATCATTTTATAATTAATATTAATGTGGTACTATAATTTATATCTTATTTTCTTAGGGAACAAACACACACATAAACAAATCTATATTTTATAATCTTTTGATTAAAAATATTAGAAATTGTAATTTTTATTAAAAACTAAAAACTTCTCTAAAGTTTAGGTAGGAAATCCTTTTCTTAAAATTTGATTAAAAATTGCCTAAAACTTTACCATGATATTTAGATTATTGAAAGTAATAATTATACGCAATGTGTCTTCTTAGTAAAAAGTTTGTTTTATGTGTTGTTTTATTGATATCTCTAAATTCGTGAATCAATCTACAAATTGACCCACAAGGTACAATTCCAATAAGAAAACATATTCATTAGGTTGAGTAGGTTAATTACATTATTGGAATGTTGTAACCATTTAGGTTTCTCTGTGTACTGTGTTGTCCTTTGCGTTAAATTAGATGACTTCAATTGTACTTTTTTTGTTACCCAGAGTATCCTTCCACCCGAACGGTAAGAGACTAATCTCTTGGGATACTGTCAAGTGCCGTACCGGAGACTCCTCCCAATAGTATTTTTTTCATACACACCGCTTCAAAGATTAAACTCAGGACATGATGTTTAAGGTGTCTAAGTCCCTTTCACTTGAACCAATACTTGTTAGTACTTCAATTGTATTTTTGTTTTTATATATTTATCGTTTTCCTCTGTGGTTGTTAATATGTTTTTATTACCCAAGAAGCCATGCTCCTAAAGACATAGTCCGTCCAAATCATTTCGGGCCTCTATACAAGTAAGGCCCAACAGTTTGGGCCTTCCAAATTACTTTGTGGGAACACTTTAGTTCATTTTGTTTTTATTTTTCTTTTATTAGAAGCTTTTTTTATATGCATTAAAATAACATTATCTCGCAAGCTCGCAAGCTTCACCTGCAACATTTGGATGATGACTTAGACTTAAACCTAACATTAACATATTTGTGTGTATTAAATTGTGTAAAATAAAAAATAACTTTATCTCTCCAGTTTTTTTTTTTGGTGGAAGAAACACATGTTGTGGTCAATTTACTAAATCTTGAAAAAATGCGCGTAATTTACCTAGGACACAATAAAAATTTTTTTATATGTAATGTAAAAGGCAAAAATTTATAAAGATAACGATGAAGTGGAAATATTCAAACCCTCTCTATCTATATGGGAAAAAATTAATGAAATTAGAGAGGAATGAAAAGTAATAAAGATAAATATAAGGATTCAATACAGTTGAATGTAAATTCACATAGCAGTATTTTTTCGGAAAAAAATTGCGTAACTTTTTTAATGTACACAAATCAATTACCTAATTACTATATTTATTACTCCTCTAATCCTATTTATAAGGCAGAGAGAGAAGATTTTTTTTGTCTTATTTATCGAGTATTGAGAGAAATTTTTTGCATAATTATACAATTTTCCCTTCATTTATTATTTTCTTGACTTTGTTTACATAAAGTATAATGTATATTAAATAGGGATAAAGTTGAAAAGTTATTGAATTTTAAATGAGAATTAATGAAATTTAAGATTTATTAAAAAAATTTCTTGGTCTGTGTGAAAATATTGGAAGAAACTTATAAATAAAACAAGAGGAGTAAAAGATAGATGAAGTATATTAAAAAAAAAAAAGATTCCGTTGCCTAAAATAATATTATGGAAATTGCATTGGAAGGAGAACCAAAGAAGGCAAAGAAATTTATGTTTGGACTTTGGATGTTTGTATTTGTCATTGTACTATAATCGCATAATCCAAACAGTGCATTGTTTCGATCACTTCTATAACACAGCCTTAGAATGCCCCTCCCACCTTGCTCACGTCTCTCAGCATCTCTGGCAATCTCGATTTTTCAACAATGACAATGGGTTACCTAATAAATTAATATCAACATAAAGAGGATATGGTTTCCGTTCATAATATTCTTCAAGTTACATGACGATCCATATGGCTGAATCGCCAAGCTTGTCTTCCTCCTTCACGCTACCTCGCCGAACACTCCACGGTTCACTTCTCTGCTAATTTCTTTAGTCTGTTTTTATCAGTCTATCTCTCTGCTTTCTTCTGTAACACATATATAGTGAGCAAATGCAGTTTCTTTTATCTTGTGCGTCATTTTCTGGAGATTTAGCAGCATAATTTTCTCAAGTTGGTGATCAAGTTTGGTCCAAGTTAGATTGACCAAAATGAGAATTGGAGGATCTTAGCTTTATCAGACATCACCTTTCATGAATTGTTGCATGAACTTGCATCATTTTTTTGCCTCATTAAAAATGAGTCATGAACCAGAGGATTAATGGTCAGTTTTGTGACTGCAGTGGAACCTCCTTCACATTCTCAAGTTATTCAGGTTTCCATGGCCCAGCTCAGTGGCTTCGGAGGATTTAAGTTTTTTGTGGTAGTCTTAGTAGTACTCATAATACTGTTGATCCTTGTGTTTCTGTGTCGGAAGCGTATCAAACCGGCATTGCAGGCAAAGCCAAAACCTCCGATGGGTATAATTTATATGAAAATCTCAGAATTAAAATAAAATCTTTTATGAGTGCACTTGTTTTATGGAAGGATAGTTTTGTTAATCATGCTGCTCTTGTTTGCACGGGCAGAGGTAATGAAGATAATAGCTTCTTCAAAGAAGCAGCAAGGTAACTTGAAACAAAACATCATACTACCTTGTACATTAAAACAATAAAACCTTACATAACCTCAAATGTTGTGGTTTCCATGTATGTACACAGGATCAGCAGACTTTTTTAGTGGCAGCGTTCAGGAAATGAGTTATTTTGACTATCAGACCCTGAAGAAGGCAACAATGAATTTTAATCCTGATAATCTTCTTGGAAGTGGTGGATATGGTCCTGTCTTTAGGGTATAACTTATACTGAATCTAATGGAGTTCTCTTGGCATGTTGCATCAATACGATATGCATTTTATTACTGTAACGATCATACAGGTTAATTAAATAGTTAAGGGAACACTTGATGGGGTCGTTCATAAGAAACCATTTCTGGAAGTTGAGGCTTGATTTATTGATGATTGTGCATTTTATGTTTTTGACAGGGGAAGTTGGCAGATGGAAGGCTAATTGCAGCGAAGACATTGAATCTGAACAAAGCACAACAAGGAGAAAAACAATTTCTGGCAGAAGTGAGACTCATTACAAGCATCCAACACAAAAATCTTGTTCGTCTCCTAGGATGCTGCATTGATGGGCCTCAAAGAATCCTTGTGTATGAATACATGAAGAACAGAAGTTTGGACCTCATAATCAATGGTATCTTTCCTATTTTCTGTATGATCCTATTCATTATTACTGAAGTCCAAAGCAGACGTTCTTGATAATAACCTGTGTTCTTTAGCATTTTACAGAACTTAGGATTGACATAACCAATCAATTGTGCTTTTCAATGCGCTTGCTACGCAGCAGACAATAATCAGTTTCTGGATTGGAGCACTAGGTTCCAAATCATCCTTGGAATTGCACGGGCATTACAATACCTGCACGAGGATTCACACATGAGAATCGTTCACAGAGATATCAAAGCAAGCAATATTCTCCTTGATGACAAGTTTCACCCCAAGATCGGAGACTTTGGACTGGCTAGGTTCTTCCCCGAAGACCAAGATTGCCTCAGTACTCAGTTTGCTGGAACATTGTGAGTCCTTAATTCAAACGATACTGTATTGAAAAGCATGGTTCATTCTGAATGAAAAATTCCTACGCTAGTCAGTTTATCATGTTAAATTTGCATTATCATGGGAATCCAAATATTCAAAGCGGTATATATCCATATGAAGAAACTTCCAAATTGCTTTGACATCGATAGTTTTAACATGCATTCATACATATTGTTGTTGCATTGTCTTGCTCGGTTAGAGGTTATACGGCTCCTGAATATGCTACTAGAGGGGAACTATCAGAAAAGGTAGACATATACAGTTTTGGAGTTCTATTGCTTGAAATTATCAGTTGCAGAAAGAACACAGATTTTACTCTACCGTCAGAAATGCAGTACCTTCCTGAATACGTAAGCTCTATTAGTTTCTACAAAAACTTGTTTATTTCTTAATGGCTAGTAATCTGAGCTTACACATGCAAATCTTCATTACTGCAGGCATGGAAGCTTTATGAGAAATCGATGCTGATGGATCTGGTAGATCCGAAACTGCGAGCGCACGGTTTTGCAGAGAAGGATGTAATGCAAGCAATTCATGTGGCATTGTTGTGTCTTCAATCTAGTGCAAATCTGAGGCCTCCCATGTCAGAAATTGTAGCATTGTTAACCTTCAAAATTGAAATGGTCACGACTCCAATGAGACCGATATTCCTTGATCGAAGGCATAAAATGGCTGCTGATGATTATGATGACGATGATGATGATGATTATGAGAATTAATTAAGAAGCATTATATATACAAGGCTAAGTATTGTTGCAAATTTTTCTGTCAAACAAGAGAAAATTTCTTCTGTCTATATGGTACATGGTACACCACATTTACAGCAGTACAGCATTATAATTTCTCCAAATAATAGGAGCTACATTTAAGTGTGTATTTCGTTTGATTTGGCCTCCAGGTAAACATTGTGCATAAAGGAACTCTATGTTATTGGCTGTATACATAAAAAGGAAAGCATGCAAAGTATCATACAACAACCAATAAGCCATGTATGTATTTATTCAGAAAATATGCATATGTTGCAGCTTTTGTTTGTAATGTTCCTCTCTTTTGAACTATTTCCATATAATCTATCTGGCCTGTATTTTGAGTGAAAATCATACTGATACATATACAAACGAATTGATGTTATTTCTGGACTACTGGAAGATATGCATGGTTGGATGAAGGATGTTTAATTTTGAGTTTAGATCATAAGCATTTCATTGATAGGGAGGATTGTTACTAAGGCTGTTTGAAGTTATATGTGTGGCAATATGTCGGAAAGATAAGATGGTTTCACTGGGAGACAATTGCATTACTCCATTGCCTCAGTTTTTATGTTAGAAGACTTAGTCTTGAATAAATGCAGCGATATAGGTACATGATCACAAACCTGGAAAATACTGCTTCCAATGCTTAAGATAAGAGCTAGTTATTTGACGTTAAATTTAAGACCTCAATCTATATTCTTTCCCAAATTTATAATTTTCTTTAAAATATCTCTATTAAATGTGAGGGGATCTCACTAAGAGATAGTTTCAATGCAAATGACTATAAAAGGTAATTTAAGGAAGTTAATATATATTTGTTATAAATAACCAACTTAACTACTCCCTCCGTTCCTTATTATAAGAGACAAATAACCGAAATACGTTGATCAAAAAAACAGTTAAAGTTAGTTAAGAACAATTAATGTATAAAAAGTATAATTTTTTTTCCAAAAATGCCCTCATTAATAAGGAGAGAGAGCATGAGAGAGAACAATTAAATTATTAAAAGAAAGAGAAGTGAAAGGGAGAGAGAGTGTGAGTTGGAGATAATAAATGGGTAAAATAGTAAATCAACACAAAAAAGTAGAGACAACTTGTAAGTGTCTTATATATAGGAACATGGCATAAGCATCAAGTGTCTCTTATAATAAGGAACGGAGGGAGTATTTTTTTAAATGTTTTTAAATTAGTTATTTAGATCTTGTACTAAGGATGAGAGATATAATATTTACTAACTTGACTACTATTATTTCTTAATTCGTGAAAGTTAATTAAAATGAGTTATAATAAGAAGGATGGAGTGTTAATCTCCTTGAATTCGCAGCAGAGAAGACCAAATTAATGCTGTATGGCAGATCTTCCACGGGCCACACCCATTTTCATCCCTCTCTCCCCTTTCTCATTCAATGCTCCCAACTCACAAGCAATCACATTAACATCTTATTCTAATTTTTTTATTTCTATCAAAGAATATTTCAGAGTTGAGGGGCAAAAAAAAAGGTGAACCAAAAGCCTTAAGAAAAAAAAAAGAAAAAAAAAAAAGGTAGAGAGCTAACTACGAATGTTGTCTTTGTGTTTTTAACTTCAAATGGTAAAATTTCATGTCTGTTTGTCGTTGCATTATTCATTATTGGCTCTGGCTGAAAAAAGCTGTCACATTAGTTATTCTTCCAAAATAAATAACTAACCACTAAATCTAGTAATTTGTATAACTTCTCATCTTATTTCTTCGCCTGAAAGACGTTTTCTCTCCCAAAACTACCATAAAATGGAAGATTTTTTTACGAAATTTCCAATGAAAACTGTGTTATAAATTTGTAGCATTCTTTTCTTTTGTTTTTTTTTTTGCAAAATCAATTTACTGCAATAGGATTTCCCTGATTTCCATTACAGAGATGAATTTCATCGCAAATTTAATTTTTTGTTTGTGAAGTGTGTGTGTGTGCGCGTGTGTGTATTGGTATTTAAATCCCGCAATCAACAACTGTGGGGCAAAACTGGATCTTGCGAGAAAACAAGACGATAATATATAAGTTACCATGCTTCCTTGGAAATAAAAGGAACCAAATTACAAGTAACAAATATGGATCTAAGCTAACGAGAATGTTGCTTGGCAGAGTCAAAGTAACAAAGAAGATGAAGTTGAACTAAAAACCAAAATTTATACATTCGGAACTAAAGATCACGGTGACACACAATCGAAAATTACTTGACAGGACCTGAATTGGACTTGCCTCGGTGATGATTCTATCTGTTGTGCAGTGGATTTGGTCCTGTAGGAACCATTCTTTTGTCTTCTAAACCAGTAGTGTTGTTCTTGGAGCTGCAAAAGTAGTAGTATTCATCACCATTTGTTGATTCGTTCGTGCTCTTAATATTCTTCTTCTTTAACTCGTTCCTCAACTCACTAACAAGCAAAGTCTTCCTCGCCACTGTACTATTGTACCAAAGCAAGCCCAGAACAGAAGGCACAGCAGAAATGTGAGCTCACGTAATCTCATTTTTCATCAGATTCTTCTTTTAACTCAGAGAGGAGGAAAGCAAAGGAGGGACAGGTTGAAGAAGAAGAGGCAGTAGGAGAGATTTTATTTATATAGTTGAAAAGCGACCAGAGAATAGAGAGAAGCAAAAAGAATTGAAGGTGATAACGATGAATGTGATAATGATATTAGTGAGGAAAAGAGAGATAGAGAAAGAGGGTGGTGGTTATGTTTCGGGCATTATGGTTATAGGACATTAACTATGGTACCTCGGATTTGCAGTAAAAGAGAGTTCGATACATCACATCTTTGGGCTCAGAAATTTCACCAAACCTCATTAATGAACTCGAACTCTATTGGACTATCATATCTCTATCAAAATTAATCAAAAGCTTCGAACTTAATTGGACCCAAAAACAGCAACATTCTGTTCCTCTCTCTCTCTCTAGTGTCTTCACTGCACAGGCTAGAACAGCTACGACCATGCATGTTTATTAATTAACTGAATCGATTTAAATAAGGATGCTGCAACAATGGAGGATCACCACGTGCCGTTGTTAAGGGGTCTCAAGTCTCAAGAGGGAGAGGGGGCATGCATGCATGGAAAAGCTGACGCTCATTAAGGGAAAAGAAGAATTACATTGCAGAAACATTAAATGGATTTTTTTTTTAAATTATTGTTCTTAAATGTCTTTGACTGTAACATGCAACGAATGGCCAGAATTTGCTTTGAGCCACGTCTTGTTGTTGTTGTTGATTGAATGAATGATGGTAAGTGTGATAGCTAGCTAGCCATAGACGATGGAGTAGATATAAATTAGATATATAGATATGCATCTGGGGGGAGGAACAGGGACAACCTGGGAAGATGCAAGTGCCGACGTTTCATTTGCGAAACAACAGCTGAGGATTCATTAAAGCACGCCATTTCTGTTAAAACAACAAGGCTTGTGTCGTGTCCATCATGTTTGCTTCTGAGTCATAGAGTAAAGTTTATAAATGGGGCTGATACAATACACTGTAAGCACAGTGCCCCGTAGTTAATTATAGTATACTATATAGTATATTCTCTTTCTTTCAGTCCTATATATATTTGGTTCTGTTTGCAAAACTTGTTGGATAATTTTTATTGAGGACATTGGATAAAAGGGCAATGGCATTAACTGCCGAAGCTTTTATTTCGTTTCCCCTTTTCTGGCCACACAATAAAGGGTTAAAAACAACATGTTCTTTTCTTTTTCTTTTGGGCAAGAAATTCCAAATTCTTTCATGCATTAACTGTGACTGATATGATATATAATATCATTTTCTAAAAGGTCAGAACGGGCAAATCCCCACTTCTTGCATTTTTACCAATCCACCATCTCTTTTTGTTTTTTTCACAGGGATTATAATGAGATCCTAAGGAAGAAAAAAATTACAAAACAAGTCTTAAAATTTATTATTCTCTATTCTAAAATTTGTTATTATAGATTATTTAAATTGTTATTGAGATTTTTTAATTTATTTTCTTTCTCTGGAACTTGATTATAATTCTTGTTTTTCGTGATGCTCCCTTCAAATTACATTATTTTCTCTACTGTTTCTCTTCCTTCTTTTTTTTTTTTTTTTAAATTCTCAGTCTTTTGCTTTTCTTGTTTGTTTTCGAAAAAATTAGTCATTCACCATTCACCATTTTTAATTTACATGTTTGCATGAAGATGAAGAAGTGGATATTTGCCATGCATGTTATTATACTTCAAGCTTCAAGGGTTTGATTGCAAAAGGTTATGGGAATATATTTGTATTTTCCTTAAAATAATTTTATTTATATTTTTTTTTTTTTTACAATTCAAAACCATTCAGAATGGGTTGAATTCTTTCCGCCACTTCATATCTAGTAAAGTTCACAGACCTTATCATGAACAAAATTATAATGATACATGTTAGTTTATCTATTTTTTTTATTATAACTAGTGTGAGTACTCCTTTATGTTGCATATAATCTGAAATAAATTATAATCTCACGACTTATGATTATACACAATTTATTAGTATTTTATATCATATATAGATATAATTTAAGACAAGGATGAACCTGTACTTTCTAGAAATTAAATGGTTCAAATCTACAATATTGCATCCATCGTCCGTACTAGAAATTAGAAACTGCGAGCCATTCGAAATACCCGTATGGGCATGCATGGACTTATTATCGCGTAGGACCAAACCAATTAATGAAACAAAACAGAGAGTTGGAAGGTCGGTGCTATCCGTTAGACACAAGGAGGTATCTCAACTGAAATTTTGAATTCATATAATATTTTTAATTACCTCATCGTTTCAATAAAAACAGTTAAAATATATAAATTTGTTGCCAAACTAAAATAATTCTTAATATTATTCTTATTAGGTACCTTAAACTCCAACATCGAAGTATTAATTTATACACACATTATTATTATTAATATGAGTATATATGAAATAAAAATATTTAATACTCCTTAA